TAGCCATCCAGGAGTCTGCTTATTCAATTATTTTCATACGGATTTTTTTTTTTTAAGTTGGAAGAAACGTGTGGACTTCGCAGGACCGCTGAATACCTGTCACTCAAACTGCCCCCACACTGATCTTTCCAGTGCCAGGCTGTATTTACCGGCCAGAGCTGCCCCAGGCCGGAGGCTCTCCAGCCTGGCGCGGCCACAGGGAGAACCGCTCGTGCACCAAGCGCAGTTCAGGCCTCTGACGCCAAAGGAGACTCTGAAATGTTTGTTCTGCTTTTACTGCGCAGTTGTTTTTTTTTTTTTAAAGAATTGCTACACTAGAATGAATGGATTATGAGTAAATAAAAAGAAGCTGTCAGTCTCTTTGAAGGTTGTGTTTAAAGGGACTTGCCAAGTCAGGACAGAAGAGTGACAAGATAGAGACCCTGGTGTTTTACACGCTCAGCCCTGCTCTTCCGCTTCATCTGCACCGCACTAAAGGATGTGTTGAGGCATTGAATCACCAAAAAAAAAAAAAAAAAAAAAAGTGGCACGCAAAATAAAAGGTGCCACATCACAATGATTGTAGTGTTTTAACGGCGGAGTGCCACAGTACCCAGCCCAACTGAAACGCGGGTCTACACAGACGAAGAATTCGGTACAATCCTTACATAAGTTATAATTAAGTTGAAGTCTGCCTAACATTTGACTTTCTAATGAGTGTAATGAGATTACATGCCTGATAGAAGCATTTGTGCCAAAGCAACTTTCATGTTTAATGGGGCACTATTACAGGACAAAATCGAATTATTTTCTCTCCTTCCCAAATTCTGTCTCCAGTGTGAAATCTCCATCTTCCAGGGGGAGGGCCGGGAGAAGCTGCGAAGGCTGAAAGAGGTGAGGGTCCATGGCCAAGGGCCTCCTGGGAAGGGCTCGACCCAGAATCTCCGCGTGTCTGGCCAGGCCGCGCTTCGGGGTCGGGCTCGCGGCCTCGCTTTAATTGCTCTTGGACGAGGTCCATGGCACCCGCGGCGCGCGAGGAACCCCTCGGTGGGTCTGAAACTAGGTTAAAGCAATTAGCATGCTGCCGACATATTGTCCTGCGGCAGGGCCGTGGGTACCGGGGGAGACTCGCGACCGTACCTTAGCTAACCAAGCCGCTTGCGGCGCGGCACAGCCGACCCTCGCCTTGGCCTGGCCTGCTAGGCGCGGGGGCGGTGACTCGGCTAGAAGGTGCGCGCCAAACGCACGCGCGGGGCCTCCGGCCCACAGCCGAGGGCGCCACGGGAGCCCACGAGGCGCCGGGCAGCCTCGTGGGAGACCCGCCGCAGCCCGGGTTTCCAGGGCTTTCCGGGTGATCGCCCCGGGCCGCGCCCTCGCGCCTCTCCCCTTCGCTAGGGGGCGGCCCTGCTTCCTCCTCGCGAGGCTCGCCTTCTCCCCAGGCTGCTTGCCAAGGAAGACGAGATTCTGTTGGAGACAAAACGAAGTAAATTTAAAAAAAAAAAAACAAACAACTCGGTTGCACAAGTGGCTCCTTGCCTTCCCGAAAGGACCCCGGATTTTGTTGGGAGGCATCCGAGGGGTCTCCCGGCCTCAGCACAGTCGTCGACCCCATCTCCTTTGAGACGACTGCTCTGAGATCCACCTACCTGATGCTGAAACTACAGAAGGGATGGGCCACAGGGCTAGCTAAAGAGCTGCCCTTTCTCTCCAGCCCGGCCGTGGAAGCACGATGGCCCCCCTCCCTTGGCCAGCCCCGGAAACTAGTCCCCTGTTCCCACTGCTCCCAACTCACCTCAAGCACTATGCTTAGACGGGGTAGGGGTGACCTTGGGTAAGTCAAACATTCGTCTCTGGGCCCTAGCTTTCCCCTCTGAAAAATGGGAATAATAAATACACCATGACCTATTTGCCTCATAGGGTGTTTGGAGGATAGGATAAAAATACAGGCCAAAGTTACTTATTTAAGGCAGGGAATGCAGATGAAGGGCCCTCTTAGAGACTTGGGGCCTAACCATCTAACCCACGCACTTTCAGCTAAATCGAACTAAAATGTGGTTTCTTACTAGATAACTACATTTTGCGCGTCTGGTTCAGTTATCTTTTACAGACTAAGTTAATTCTTCTTAAAAAAAAAAAAACAGCTACCCCCATCATGTAGTAAACAAAAAACTTTTAGAAAAAGGTGTAAATAGCATTTATTAACATCGCTTAGAAATAAACCATATCTGGCAATAAATTAGCATGACGTTTTCTGGCCAGAGTTCTTCCAACAACGCAGAGTTCTGCCAAAGGTGCTGGGGGAAATCAAAGGCTATTGCATATTTTTAGAAAATCAGGATAAATTATATAAATTATATACTTAAAAAGAGATCGTCTATTTCATTAACTTGACAGGATAATAAATAGATAAATAACAGTTGATTGCCATTAGAAAAATGTGATTCTTAAATTACATTATAGATATTTACATGTACAATATGCACAGAGACATAATCAGATCCTCAGGAGGGTCTGGGACTTCTCAGGACACAAACTCAAAGGGCGGTTCGTTTTCTATGTTGTTGAAGGAAGATTTGCTGTTGAGTTTTCTGGGGTCCTCTGGGGTCCACACTTTGGCTGTTCGGATAATATTTTGTTCTTTGAGTTGCTTTTCATCAGTCCATGAGAGGGAGTGTCCTGCAAGGGGAGGGAGGCCATAATCCGGGTCGCTGGGGGAGGGGGACCCTGAGGAGGTGAGAAGAGAAAACAGACCGTGAACGTCCAACTCTATTCCCAGCGGTGCCCTCTGGTCCTTTAGGATCCCCTCCTGGGCGCCTCGACAGAACAGGCGTCTTAAGTTACATTAAAACGAACCCTCTTCCTCCACCCCCAGCCCCCCAGCGCCCCCTCCCCGGAATCCCCGGAGCTGCAAGTCCGTCGCGGACTCAAGCCCTCCCAGCCGCGGTCAAATGGCGGAAAAAACCTGCGAAACGCCAACTCGTGTTCAAGGTCGCCGGTGCCCACGAACCACCTGTCCGTCCGTCAGTCGGCTTGTGGGTCCGCTCACCCAGCCCCTCCGGGACCTTCCCGTGCCCGTCCCCGTCTCCCTGAGCTGGACTGCGGACGCACTTACGGGTGCCCCGGTGGCAGATGATGACCTTCTGGGCCTGGCTGCCGGGGCTGTCCCCGCCCAGGCGCCCGCCGCCCCCCGGGCCCCCGCCGCCGCCCGCGCCGCCGCCGCGCAGCGGCAGGTCGGCCTGCACCAGCTCGCTGAGGAAGTTGATGTAGCCGATGGCCAGGCGCAGCGTGTCCACCTTGGAGAGGCGCTTCTCGTAGGGCAGCGTGGGGATGTGCGAGCGCAGCCCCTCGAAGGCGTCGTTGATGGACTGCATGCGCCGCCGCTCGCGCACGTTGGCCGCCTGCCGCAGCTGCTGCAGCTCGGCCTCGGAGCGCACCCGCCGCCGCCGCCGCGCCGCCGCCGCCGCCGCCGCCGCCGCCCCGCTCAGGCCGAATCCAAAGTAGTTGCCGGTCGCCATTTTGGCATCCTCCCCCAGCCGGCTGGGCACTGCGGCGGGCATGGAGAGCGAATAGGGGAAGCCGCCGGGGGGCGCCCCTGCCTCGCAGCAGTAGCCGCCGCCGCCGCCGCCGCCGCCG